TTTTTTTCTTTTTACGTACATTTATTTTTTTATTATTTGTTAAAATATAAAGTACAAATGTTGTTCCGCATAGACACACGAACGCTTATCTTTTACTCGTCGTTATACAGGATTTTGGATGTGTGCATTGAGTGAGTGAGAGAGAGACAGAGAAATAAATATACAAAGCCAAGCACACCTTCGTTTGTTCGTTTGTTCGTTCTTCGATGATGATATAGATTTATTTAGCTGCAGATTTTAGCTGGTAAATAATTCATTGGTTATATGCATCAACCATACAAATTAGAAGAAAACAAATAGATGTATGCTACGATGTTGATAGTAAAGATAAAAAAAATTTGGTTCTCTAGGTTTTTTTTGTTGTCTTTTGTTGATAATAATTTTTTCTAAAAGATAACATTGAATTAATAACTTATTAATTCTTGAGATTATAATTAAAAATTGATTAATGCTTTTTTTGGCGACACTTAATAATTATTTTAGAAGTTATACAATTTTTTTTAATTACATCGTAACTAAGAAATAGAAAAAGTAAATTTTCTCAAACAATACAAACCCTTTGTTTATCACTAAATCCTTCAATATATATTTGGTTTTTCATTTTAGTAGTGTTCATTTTTGTGACATCAATTATTTTATATAGACAAATATTGTCTTTTTGTCTTTAATAAAAACTGAATCAATAAAAATATCTTTATTGAAATGATTCAAATAATTTTTCATTTATACCAACATATTGTTTAACATTTCATATTGAACATGTTTGCACATAAAAGAGCAAATAAAAATTAATATCGTCGTCGAATATAACAGATTGTTGTGAATTCTCACCATGAACAAAAAATTTTAATCTTATACAGTCATTGATAAATATAATCAAACAATCGATGAAAATTAAACTCATAAATCAGCACGAATCAATTTGTTAAAGTGTTAAGGTAAACTTTTTATAATCTTGAATATTTCTTTTGTTAAAATTTTTTTTTTTACTCATAGAGAATAGATTTTGTTCACTTTTGTTTTCATGATGCTGTTATAAATCAAGCATGTATTTATTAAATTAGATTATCATGATTAGAAACATTCAATATATTTGAATAATATATAACAGATTAAATTTAATTTTAAATATATAGATAATAATATTCAATGAATATATGTTCATTATGATCGTTTATATATCTATATATTTGATCATGAACATAGACATAGAGTCTCCAGTTCAAAAGATTTATATAATTTTTTATAATATGATATTCCATATATATTTTCTGATTAACGTCCATGACTATAAATATTGCAATTCAAATAGTGTTATTAATGTTCACATTTGAGTCACGAGTAATTGTGAAACGAAAAATTCAAGATGAGTTTAACACATAAGTTTAAGACATAGACAGCATTAAAAAGTATTTCTAATGCTTCTCTGAAATTATAACACTAGCAGGTCGACAAAGTTCTGAGGTACTTTCAAAATTTACAGAAGAAAAAATTAACGATGTTCACAATGTTGATGGAAAGAGTCTGTATTGAGTGTTTTTGAGATTAATACAACAGCCCGATTGACTTGCGGAGCAATACATACACTGAATTATGATCGAGAGTGTTCCAGTGAAGACATACAAAGTATAATTTATCTAATAAATTTACGAAGAAGATTTATAACATCAAGTTGAGGTTAGATGACTTTGACATCAATGTTAGAAAATATCAATAGTCAAGAAATGTTTTTTCTTTGGACGAGACTATTCTTATTTAAATGGTTTATTCATAAACATAAGGTGAAAACTAATGTGTAATATGACACATAAAGTTTTGGAAGGCAAACTTGGGGAGTTGAATACACATCCACAACATGTTGTGTTTTCATGTTCTATTTATTTTTTAATGAATAGAAGGTATTAATAGAAAATATTTAGTAATAATATAGCTATTACCAAGGTTAGCTTGATTGAGAGGTGTATGCAACTTGTCCCAATCATGAAAAATTTTTGTTATTTCCCAGTGGAGTCGAAAATTTTTTATTGCGATCTCTGAGGAAAAATATGTACACCTCTTCGAAAAAACTGCGATATCTCCTCAATGTTCGCGACTTCGGATCAGCCTTGATTATTATGATTGAGATAAATAAGAAAAAACATAACTCATTATCTTTCTCATGCATGTATTATTTTTATATAAAATACAAAAAACAAAACAAAACAAAACATATTAACATTGAAATATAATCATATTTTACTTAATTTTCTTTAGATAAAAAAGAAATCTATATTATTATGGAAGACGAACAACAAGCAGAATTAATTGAGGAATGCAATGTTTTGGTAGGTATTGTTTTTTATACATACTTATATTTGACTATAGCCCTAATAATAACATTGTTGGCTAAAAAATCGATCTTGGCTCAGATATATTCAAATTGCATGAAATTTTCAGGATATGCTGCAGCTGTAGTGGAAAGGCTATAGTAAAATCCTCAACTCTATTCAATGGTGTTTTCACGAGATATTCAACAAACAAAGGTCGAAAATAGCTCATTTGGTAGCCCAAAATTCTCTATAGGCCTTGATTCTATAGACTTAATTTATTGTTTGCTTGAGAGAGTATTAATAGTACTCTAATTATAAAAGTACTCTTTTATGAAATAGTAACAAAGCTTAATGAAGCTTCTTCGAGAATTCTGAAATGCGCGATTAAAAAAGGGAAAAAGATTTTCCATTTTATCTGAAAAAAAAACCAGATTTTTAAAACAGAAAATAAAGAAAATTTTTGGAAAAAGAATGAGGTACCAAATAAAAAATCATGCCATTTATGAAAAATCAGACCTCGAACTATCTTTCCATGTATTTATCTCAGTTTTTATTTTTCTTTGACGGAAATTAGCCCATTTAAAATGTCTATTATCGTTTTTTTTTATCAAAGTTGAAATTAAAATGAAAAGAATTCAAAATGTAACAATATCAACAAGAAAAATTTCCTTATTAGACAATTCTATTGAAATTTAATATTAGTACATTGAAAAATTCTAATCTTTGTAATAAAAACATTATTTTCTTTTATTTTTTAGCGTCGTGAATTAAATGATTTAATGACAAATGATTTCGATCGTGTTCTAGCAGAAATAAGTGATATTCTTAAAGTATTTTAAATGTTCTATTAATATTTCATAACCTTTGTATTCTATTTTTCTTTTACAGACTTCTGTTCGTTCATTAAAACGTCCAGATGAGTGTAAGCTTTTGGTTTTTTCATTTTGCACTCTTGGATAAAAGCCTCCTCTCCTCTCAATCATTCTTTTCGTATAGAACCACTTTAGTCTCAAGTGAATGTTAGTTACAAGTATGGCTAAAGTACTCTATTATAGTGTAGTATATGATTGATAACAACTTGCCGCAATGAAGAATATACTTCTTTCAATACAAGTGGGCAACACTACAAATGAGTTGATGACACAATGTTTTGTGATTGGGTTATCTTTTTTTTGTATCTATTAACTGTTTTACTGATTTGAACCATTAAACTCTCGTCGTCGCCGACTCGAAGCTCTTCCGAGAATGGAGTATAGTCCATTATATAAATAGAGATAAAGTAAAACATTCAGAAAATATAACATACATTCTTCATTGAAGTAGATTGCAATCAATTATACACTACACTAAAGAACAGTTTTTAAGTCATTCTTGTAACTAACAGGGTTCGATACAAAAAGAATGAGAGAGGAGGGGAAGATTTTTTCTCATGGATGTAAATCTTTAATTTTTCTTTTCACTTGTTCTATTTAAGCAACAGACATTACAACGTCTGATGCTATTGCTAAACCAATCGTATTATCATTAGCGCATCCTCAGTATGATTAAAATTTATTAAATTAAACTTAAACAAAATTTTTTTTTCATTTTTAGAAATAGTGAAATTTTAAAATGTACTGTAACTCTACTCGGATCAGACATAACAGCAGCTGTAAATAAAAAAAATATATATATTATTTTTTTAATATAATTATAATTCATTTTCTAGGATGTAGTTTATAAAGCTGGAACAAAAGTTCAACCACCAATGAATAATGCATTTCGAACAACAATAGCAACACAACAAATGAAATATTGGTCTCTTCAACAAGTAACAAAAAGAAAAAGAAAAATCTTTTGTTTTTTTGAAAATTAAGAATTAAAAATCGTTTTCATTTAGTTACATGAATGTACACAACATCTTGAACGTGCATTACGTTATGTTCTATTAACAGATTTTGATCGTAATATTGAACAATTATATAAAGCTATACAATATCTTGATTTAATTATTGATTGTGTTAATAATGCTAAAGATAATATTTTATTACCAAAGAAAAAACGTATTGATGATTTAAGACGAAGTAAAAACACAGTAATAAAAACACAAAGAAAATTTTTATTGAATTAAATTAAGATTCTTCTATTTTTGTTTATAGACAATTTTTACACCATCAATACCAGAAAATATGGCATTTAGTTTTTATGTTCAAGGTTCAAAATTATCATTTGCCGTTTATCATACAAGTGTTCAAGGAAAATCAAGTGGTTATTTTAAACATTTTGTATGTACAAAAAAAATAATAAAGAAAAACCGATAATAACTTAAATGAAAAATTTTACATTTTTGTTTTGTGTTTTCATTATTTAGATTGAAGCTAATGTACCAGCACTTGCTGATTTATTAAATCAATTATCTTATATACTTTTACAATTACAACAACTTCGAGATAAAGTAGATAAATTTTATCAATTAATAAATTCATAGAAAATATTTTTCTTTTCTTAGTTACGTATTTTCGACGAATATCAAAATGGATCGGATTGGAAATTAATGGAAGAAAAACAAAATGAGACTGATAATCTTATGACCATGTTTTAATTTTCTTTTCTTTCTTTTTTTTTTGTATTAAATTATGTCAAGTGTAATACATATATTTATATATATATATATATATATATATATATTGTTCATCAAACATCTAATTCCAGATGATATTGACAAAACCTTTTAATCTAATAGTTCGTTTTGTTAAAAATACAAATAAAAACTTATTATCTCATTGTTCTTTATCAACAGACCGTTCTGAAACAATCTCAGCAGCATTAAAACAATTTTATTTAAAAGTTCATCCTGATTTATTTACTCAATATCCAAAAGAAAAAGTAATTCAATACGAGAAAAATTAAAATTGTTCTTAGATGATGTTTTTTTTGTTTCGTTTTATTAAAGGATGTTAATGAGAAAAGTTTACAATTGGTTAGTGCTTATCTTTCTGGATTGCAACGTAAAGAATATATGGCACCCATCACTGTTACTTTCTTTACAAAATTATCGCCAAATTTACCTCCACGTGGGTTAACTTTTTCTGAAAAAATTTATTCATTACTATTCATTTTAGTTGTTTTTTATTTTGTTTTTATTTCAATTCTAGCTGCACCAGTGTCATTCATTCCTCATCGTATTACACTCAATTCAAATGATCTTATAACTAGTGTGAACCGTATATTAACTGCATTGAACTTACTGACTGTTGATAGACCAAAAGAACAAAAACAAGTTGGTCAACATGAAATTCAATTTAAAATAATTGAAATTGAAAAATTCTATGATTTTACAAAAATTCCTAAAATATCACTGAAGTAAGAATAAAAAATTTCGAATTTTTTTTTCTTTTTAATGGTATTATTATTTTGTTTTCTTTTTAGAACATGGTTAACAAATAATTTTGAAGCAGCACGTGTTATAACTAAACAACATCAGAAATTATTAAATGAAATCAGTGATAAAATTAATAGTATTAAAGAACGTTTTAAACTGAAATCAATTGAATATAGTGATGATTGGTCTGTACCACAATTTTCTACTTGTTTAAGAACATTACTTATGTATGCTGATAAATGGCATGAAAAACTTTTGACTTTAGAAGGTATTTCTTATAGATACATAATAATGAGATTTCTACTACTTGAAAACTTAAAGCTTTAGTGAAGAAGATAATCAAGAAGAAACTATTATTCGGTTACAATTATCAGTTGAAGACATTGCTAGGAAGAATTTCAAAAATCCAATTTTTTTTTGTCTTCAATAATTGTCTTTTATTGAGTTGTAGTTCTGAATAGAGGACTAGCTTCTCATAAAGTTCTTTTCATTCTGTTAATTGAACATTCATATACGCTCACTCTGGGCATAGAAATGATCTCAAGACTTAATAACAAAGAAAAGCTGGAACAATTGATGTGTATCTCAATCTAATCGATATAAATTATTCATAGTTAATTTGTAGGTAAATTTATTGAAGTATAGACTATATGATAATCTAAATATTCTTCGAGCATTTCATTATCGTTAATAACATATCCAGTAATAGAAAGTTTATAAAGTATTTTAAAATTGAAGTTTTTCTTTTTATTACTTATTTATCTTATCTTTTATCTTCTTCATATGAGTTCGGTTTGACTAGCAAAAATTTTTTTTTGTATTCTTCTCAATACGAAAAGTAACATTGACCTATAATAATAATCATCTTTTTCTTCTTATTATTAAATATAGGTAAACGACTTATATTTGGTGATAAATCATGTTTACTTCAAGATGGTTCACTTGAATTAAGTGCTAATGAACCACCTGTTTATTGGGATCATGTTATTTGTTGTGAATTACTTCATTCAGATAAATATATGGAAAAAATAGCTTCATATGAGAATAATCTTAGTCAATATTTTCATGATATTAAAATTCGACAAGATCCTGATTCCGAATATTTATGTCGTGCACATACATATTTATATCATCTTATACAATTAAGTTCTCATTTGAATTTAAATCGTCATCATGAAGCACATAAAAAAAAATCATGGAAAAATTTTTATTTATTTATTAATCCATATAGTTCAGAACCATCATTAACAAATAGTGGTTTTTTTCAAATTAGTGCATTTGATGCTACTATGGATATATTAGATTTTATGATTAATAATAGAAAACAAGCTGAAGAAACAAGAAATTTATATGAAAAAGATGTTGAAAAAGGACATCATTTACTTGAAATAATAAAAAAACAATTTAATTTAACTGATATATTAATAAATCGACGAATAAAAAAAAGTGATATTAATCAATCTTGTCAACGTTTAATTAATGAACGTCAACATTTTTTAAATATTTTAACAAAATGTCGTCTTAAAATTGATAAAAATTATAATCTAGCACAAAATGGTACTATGTCAATACCATGGGATTGGTCATTGACGCAAAATGAAACGCTTTAAATTTGTAGTATAATTTTTGTGTGTGTTTGCAGAATAAATTTATTTTTAATAATAACTAAAAATTGAAATATACTTTTGTTAGCTTTTTGTATTCTTTTAGATATGCTTCGGTTTTCCGCTCGTGTTGTTGTTGTTACTGGTGCTGGTAATGGTTTAGGAAAAGTATTTACAAAACAAAAAAAAAATTCATAAGAAAAAAAATCGAAATTGATTTAAATATCTTTTAGGAATATGCACTTGGATTTGCTGAACGTGGTGCAAGTGTTGTTGTCAATGATTTAGGTGGAAGTGCATCAGGTGATGGCAATCATTCATCTCGACCAGCTGATGAAGTTGTTAAACTTATTCAATCACGTGGTGGAAAAGCTGTAGCTGATTATCATTCTGTTGAAGATGGAAAAGCTATTATAGAAACAGCAATTAAGAATTTTGGTCGTCTTGACATTCTTGTAATAGACAAAAGAATTTTAATTCAAATTAATAAATATTTTTTTTTTAAATTATTTTAGGTAAATAATGCAGGTATTTTACGTGATAAAAGTTTTATGAATATGACAGAACAAGATTGGGATCTTGTACAACGTATTCATTTACGAGCAGCTTATTTAATAACACATGCTGCTTGGTCATATATGAGACAACAAAAATATGGAAGAATTATATTTACTACATCAACATCGGGTCTTTATGGCAATTTTGGACAGGTTCGATTTTAAATCTTTATCACATATTTATTTCGATAAACAACAAAAACATGTTTAATGTAGTAGAAGAAAATGCTAGCGATCTATGACTTTTATTATTAAAGTTATATATGTAAAGCAGAGATAGGATCGATTCAGATTTTTTAAAATTTAAATCGAAATTGATTTAAGATCCTTCGAACCAATCCCATTTTTGATGTGAAGTACATTATTAGTCAATTATACATAAATCCATATCATCGTTTTCGCTTGGTGTAACAGTCAATAGTTTAATGAGGAATGCCACAAAACCATTAAGGTATTGACACCAATTAATACTAATATCAGTCAATATCAAATGGTATTGTGATATGCTGAATGTCAGTATTTTAGTTCTTTTCATTCCAGATAGACATGAGCGGAACCATCTTGCTCATATCTAATTCCAGTGCTATTACAAAAATAGACGCAATCATTCTAGATTAACTCAAGAGAGAACTCTTCTAAATGATAATCTCCATTTTGCTGATTGTTAGAGTTCATTATGCATATGAAAATTCTGAACGAGTTTGTGCATAAACCTGTTTAGGATTTTTATCTACATAAACGACTCTAACAATTAGCAAAATAGAAGCTATCATTTGGAAAAGTTCCCTCGTCAATGGAACAAACTGCTATTCTAGATATCACAAATTTAATATTGTTATGACGATGAAAAAAAAACAAAAGACTTTTTATTTGTAGGCAAACTATAGTGCTGCTAAAATGGGTTTAGTCGGTTTATCAAATACACTTGCACTTGAAGGAGCTAAATATAATATAACATGTCATGCTATTGCACCAACAGCATATTCACGCTTAACACAAGATCTTCTACCACCAGATGCTGAAGAAAATTTAAAACCAGCTTTTGTTATGCCACTTGTTCTTTATTTATGTCATGAATCTTGTACTGATACAGGTTCTTTATTTCAAGTAGCTGGTGGATGGATAGGTAAAGTTCGTTTAGAAAAATCTTCTGGTGCAATGGTACGTCGTCCAAATAAACCAATGACAGTTGAAGATGTACGAGACAATTGGAAAGATATAATTAGTTTTGCAACACCATTACATCATTCAACACAAGCTGAACAAGTAACACATTTGTGGGATGCTATAAGAAAAATGAATAATAATAATAATGATGATGATGATAAAGTTCTTACTCAAACATTTTCTTATACAGCAAATCAAATTATTTTATATGCACTTTCTGTTGGTTGTTCTTTACGTCAACCGAATTCATTACGTTTTCTTTATGAAAATCATGAAGAATTTTCTGCTTTACCAACATTTGCTGTTATACCAGCTCAAGCATTATCAATGAATTTAATTAGTTCAGGAAAACTTGGTTTTGATATTGACTTATTACGAGTAAATTTTTATTTAAATAAATAAAACAAAACAACAAAATCTTTGTGATTTTCTTTATCATAGGTTCTTCATGGTGAACAATATGTTGAATTATTTGAACCATTACCAACATCTGGTACTGTGACATTAAAAGGAAAAGTTGTTGATGTACTTGATAAAGGTTCTGGTGCTGTACTTATTTATGATGGTAGAAAATTTTTTTTTATTAAATTTCTATTCTAATTTCTTATTTATGAATATATTTTCTAGTGGAAATATTTAATGAAAACGAAAAATTAATTGCTCTTAATCAATTTGTTATTTTTTCTGTTGGTTCAGGTGGTTTTGGTGGTAAAAAAACTAGTGAAAATCAACGAAAATATCTTCCAGCACCACAACGAAAATCTGATCAAATATGTCGTGAAACAACAAATATTGATCAAGCAGCACTTTATCGTTTAAATGGTGATAGAAATCCATTACATATTGATCCATCATTTGCATCAGCAGCTGGTATTCTTAAGATTTATTATTTATTTATATTAAAAAAAAAATCAAATTTTTTTCTTTTTTTTCCCAAGGTTTTTCACGTCCAATTTTACATGGTTTATGTTCATTTGGTTATGCAGCTCGACATGTTTTACATACATATGCGAACGATAATCCAGTATTATTTAAAGCTATTAAAGTAGAGGAAAACTTATCAATTTCAATAATAATAAAATAAATTTGTTTATAGGTTCGTTTTACAAAACCTGTTGAACCTGGTCAAACTATTGAAACACATATGTGGCGTGAAGGAAATCGAATCTTTTTCGAATCAAAGGTTTATTTTTTTCAAAATTCATGTTTAATTATTTCATTTTTTCTTGTATTTTTAAATAGGTACCAGAATCAAATCAAACAGTATTAACAGGTGGTTATGTTGATTTACATGATGTAGTTCTTAATATAAATACACCAGGCACTGCTGAGGTAAGAAATAAATAAAAAAAAGAAGAACTTAAATTTCAACTCTCATTTCTTACATTTTATATCTCTCAAAGTAAATAAAGAACAGTAACAAAGGTTTCTGAGATAATGCATGTGATTAAATATCTGTGCAAATAGCACATCTTATATTTTTTTCTTTTCGTATATCAAAATGACTAAAGAGGTACAACATATAGAAAACGAATTTTTTAATTCTTTTTTATTGTTTAAAATAAATTTTAGAAAAGTTCAACAGCCACAACAACAACATCATCATCAGGAGTAGAATTAAAAGCTAGAACAGCTTTTAATGAAATAAATAAACGTGCTAAAGGTCAACCAGATCTTGTAAAAAAAGTTGGTGCAGTTATTGTATTTGATATAACAAAAGACGGAAATGTTCAACAAAGTTGGAGTAAGTCACAAAAATACACGCAGACATATAAATTAATATTCATATATTTATTTATTTGTTTTATTTTATGCTTTGTTTTTCAGCTATTGATGGAAAAAAAGGTACTATCTATGAAGGTAAACCCCTGGAAGGAACAACAGCACAAGTGACAATTACAGTCGATGATAATGATTTTGTAGATTTGTCTTCAGGCAAAGCTAATGCACCTGCCGTATGTATTAACATTTAAAATCTATTATATACAATTATATTGTTTTATTTTATAGCTTTTTGCTAAGGGTAAATTGAAAGTAAAAGGCAATGTTATGTTAGCACAAAAATTATCTACATTATTCAAAGATCAAGCTAAATTATAAGGATGAACGACAACAACAATAAAGAACAAAAATAAATTTTTTCTTTTTGTTTTAATTATAACGATTTGAGATTTTAGTTGTTTTCTTTTTATTATCACACTGTGATTATCATATACAGATTCTTTTTAAAAAAAAAAATAAACATGTATTAATACATATGTAAATATGTCTTCTATTGATAATATCTATTTTTCATTGGAAAGGAAATGATGAGAGACATAACAAATCTTTTCTTTGTTTTTTTATTTTATTTGGAGTAAAAATCCATTAGATTTGATACTATGATATATATATATAAGTGTCTGCATGTTTGGATATATTTTATTTTGAAATTACAATTTAAATAGTTTTGCCACAATTATATATATTTTGTATGTTCTATATGGTGCTTGATGTCTTTCTTTTTGTGCTTACGTTACAATAGAAACATCAAAAGCGGAAGAAAACAGATACTATTGAACCCAAACAAGGGAAGCAATAAGAATGTCGAGATATATATATAATCGGATATAGGTCGGTAAATTAGGGATTAGCAAAGAATATAATGATGCACGAGATAATAGAAGGAAACGAATGATAAGAATAGAATCTTATCTAGATAGCTTATTATTGTAGGCAATTCTATGAATTTAAACACGTTTATACTCACTTCTAATTTATTCTTTGTTTTTTTTATATCGCTCTTCATCATCATTTTCAGGAACATAATATTTTTCAGTCATTATTATCGTCAATATAAAAAAAAGACTTATTATACACATGTATCAACTATAAGGAATGATAACAAGTTTATTTATCTAGAATATGTCATGTTTGATATATACTTAACTAGTACTATTCAAACATGTAATTACAAACAAAAACAAATATATCATCCTACTTGCAATTTGAATACATGAAAATAAGGTTTTCTGTGTATTATCTGGTATTGAATAATTATTTAAGATAAAAAAAAATACTAAATTTAAAGTTCAATATCATAAACAAAAGAAGATCAAAAAATGATGTATTATATATACATGAAAGATAATTCTATTAATAGAAAAATAATGGCATCACATTATTGAATAGAATCATTTGTTTGGTTATGTTTTCACTGAATGACACTACCTGTTACGAACGGGGTAACATAAAAGACTAAAATATAAAACAAAAAAAGAACTGTCTATTGGGTACAAAGTT